TCTTGCAGTAACTATCCTTTTAGTCCAGTATTAGTTATATTTTATCACTTAGATAACACTGTGTATGAACTGTTAAGCCTGCAACTGGGCTTCAGGACAGGTATTTAAGTGCACCACAGGAAGAGAGGAAAGCTGCTTTCCAAAGGAGAAGAATAGCAACCTATAGCTGTGGGTGGACCCAGTTAATCTCCTGTTATCTGTTCTGATAGCCAAATTATGCTCCTATCAGTGTTAGTCCTGTCCCTGCCAATGCAATACAAAGCCTCACTGGTTTATATCTCTTAGTGAGTTTGCTGCTGCCCAATTCCCCTGGCTGGGTCAGGCAGGGGCTCTGTCTGCAAAATGGCCTGACCCAAGCAAACCTGCTCCCTGCTGCAGCAAAGCTCCTTGTCGTGCTCCCTAATCATCCCTAATCCCAGCAGCTGATTCCCCTGATTATGTGTCAGAACATGAGGGTAGCCTGTTTAAAAGGAGCTGTTTTCCAGCAGCAGCACTTCCTCTCCTTAGCTCAGGGACGTGGATCTGACACAAGAGGTGTCTCAGAGATGGCTCTGGACTGCAGCATGGGAAGACAGCATGTGTCTGTCAGGATAACACTTAGCTCACTTTGGGCTCTTTGCCCTATTTTCTAGCTTTCTGGCTGCTGTACAGATAATAGAACCCCTCCAGAGCAGAGGAAGTCTGGCACTGAGCAGGATTCTTTCGAGTAATGCACGGCCCTGGCAGGTATTAATCCTGGTAGCTTAGGCAGGTGTATGCTAGTGATCCTGGAAACTAAACACAGATTTAGTGTGTAAAGGTTTAGTTTTTATCATACTGTTTTCTGAAATACCAAAGTGTCTGCAGAGCCTGCAGTTGCCCTGTGGTGATTTGGTTCATGAACAGCAAAAAGAAAACTCCTGAGAAGTTATTAATGTTGAGGCTGGGGGACCAAGTGAAAAAAGGGAAAAAAAAAGTTTACAGAAACACTGAAGAGAAGCTTGAGACTTTACAATTATTTTTGAATACAAATCACTATGTTGATTTATCCAAATACTACTGAACACCAAACCAGGTCCCAACCCTAGCTAGAAAGAAGCTGACTCACCAGATTTATTCATGACTGTTCATTTATCAGAGCAGCTTTCTCTCTTCTGTTTGTAAGCATGACTCACTTTTATAGCCACCAGATCAGATCACAGTTGCATCTTGTCTTGTGTCAACTCAAACGTGTCCCTGTCCTATTTAAAATCATTCTTTCCTTCCTGTGTGTTTCTGAGTTGTTCCATGGTGGGAAAATCTTCATGGGCTTTGATTTCCCCTTAGTTCTTACTTCTTCCCTACACGTGTTACCGTGCTGATTTGTCTTTTCCTCCTGCTGTAATTGGGCTGGTGCCACCATGTAATTTTTAACTGTGTGCAGTATCAACAGACCTCCATCTGTCTCTCCTCCAGAGCTTTCCAGCCTGCCGTTATAAATATCTGCCAAATCCTTCTCCAAAGAGAGGATCACCAGATTCCAACTGTTTGCAAAATAAGAGCCGCTGCCAGAAATCCTCTCCCACCGTCTGCAACCTGTGCAGAACCTGTCCCTGCTCAGGGTGGGATGGCACTGCTGGCACTGAGGAGCTCAGACTGGAATTCATTGTCCCTTAGAAGTTGTGGTGGTCTCTTTGCTCAAGTATCTCATTATATGTGTTATTTTATTAGACAGTAACCTTCAATAACCATCAGATAACAAAATCAAAATTACTTGTATGTAAGGGTGGGGTTTTTTCCCTTTTAAAATGCAATTCTGATTTAAAACAAGCATTGGTGTGGATCAGTTTCAGTGTTGTTTTAAAAGGTGTTTTACTTCACCTGGAAGGGTCTGGGAGTTCATTCCCCTTTCCCAGCCTGTCGCTCTGGGGCTGAAGACTAGTTACCATGATTGAAAGCTGGGGTAACAGATTGGACTTGCTGAGAGAAGTTTGAACTTCCACCTCTCTAAATTTTTACATCAGAATAAATCATTAGAATTAGCAAAAACCAGACTTAATTAGATTAAGCACAGTTCAAAAAAAGAGGCAATTTTTAACATGGATAAAATAAAATTATATATCAATGCACTTGGATAAAGTAAACATTCCAGATTATGATGTACGTGCCCTTTGACACTTGAAGCCGTTCTCATATCAGTCTGTTAATGGCATTGGTTCAGAGCTCTGTTAGACTCATGTGGCTTTGTGAGTCCAGTTGTGTGTTTCTTGGGCTACAATCCACACACATGTTAGTGTTTGCTGGTGGTGTGTGTGCCAGCTTGCTCTGGCTGGGGAATTCACAAGGAGCCTCTTCAGGTACTGCTGCAGACATCAAATTAAAAATAAATGTCTGCTTGAGTAAAAACCTGTCTAGTTAATATTAGATCCAAGAAACCAGGTTTCTTTTATATCCGTGGAAGATTGCAGTAAGTCAGCACAAAGGATATTTCAAGGTTGTTTCAGGAGAAGGTTTCATGTTTGGATCTGCTACATCTTAGTTCTGGAGAGCTCTGCAGAGGAATATAAGGAAGGTAAAGCATCTTGGGAGCTTGGTAAATTCTCCTTCCAGTCTACTTTCTGAATAACATGGTATTTTCAAGAGGCAGAGAAGTGGGTACCATGTGTTAGACATGGGCATGGATCATGTGAAAAGTGGCTTTTTGTAGAGGGAAGCATCTTAAGCACTGAAGAAGCTTGGACATTAGTTTCATGATGTCTCATCAGGTTAAAAAAATACTGGTATTTCCATTGTCTAGATTGCGCTGTGGATTTGGTGTCCATTTTTGAAGGTTTTAGGGCAATCAATTTCATTACTTCCTTAGGAGAGTGTGCAACCATTTAATAATACATTATGACAGCAGGAAAATGTGTACAAACAAGCCTGAGCCTGCAGGACAGTTGTACTTACTCCCAAATGAAAAATATCCTCAGCCCTTGCCGAGGGTGGCACAGGGAGCAGTGAAAGGGAGCAGGGGCTGGGCTGGGCAGGGCTGTGCTTGCAAGGCTGAGATCCAGCCCCCAGTTCAGTCTGATTTTCTGCAGCAAGGTTTTCTCATGAAGGAACAGCCGTGGTTTCTTCTAAAGTGTCCAGGAGATAAAAAGCAGATGGCATTTATTAGCTAATTAATATTTTCTGCACCTTATCTGCTGTGCTTGATGTGTGTAAAGTTTCTGAGGTGAGGATTTGTTGAAGAAATCAACCCTTTTAAAATCTGGAGAGGAGGGAAGGTTACATACAAATATGTAATTTTATGGCCAGCAGAAATAGGTTAATCTTTTTACTTTGAATTAATATTCAGGGCTCATTCCTTCAATTTTTTAAGGGAATATGCACAATGAGCTCGCAGTTCTCCTAACTCTTGTCTTGACTGCTTAGTGCATTGTGTGAGGTGCACACCCTGTCCTCTTTGTGGGTGTGCTCCTTCCCCTTTTGCATTTCTTATGGACACAAAGCAAAATACTGGTTTGTTTGTTTGTTTGTTTGTTTGTTTGTTTTTTTTTTTTTATGCCAGGCTCGCTTTTAGCTTGTGTCCTTGTGAACTCTTGGTGGCCACAGCAGCTCCCTGGCAGGACTTCTGCCAAGTGCTGGCCACCTCCATGACCCTGCTGTGACAGTGGTCAGTGCCATTTTACCAGAGCACCACTGGGGTGTTTAAGGTCACTCTGACCTTGAGTTCTATGGGACACAAGATGAATACCTTGATGTTATTGATCATTTCATTCAGGGCAAGATAGAGTACCTTGCCAAGATGTTAATATAATAAAAAGGAATGTCTGAGAAAGGATATGAGGCTTTCAAACCCTGCTGGGTTCACAGCAAAATCTTCATACAGCCAAAACCCACAAAACTTATCTGGTTTTTCCAGCAGCTTGGAGAACCCCAGGTGGGTTTGTAGGCAGACAGCATCTCTGGTAGTCACAGTGGTGGGTATTCACAGCTTCAGGACCCCAACAACCCCAAAATTAGGATTTCAGTGGAGGTTTGAGCTCTGCACCAGCATGATCCCAAAGCCTCTCATGCACCAAGGTCCCTGTGTAGAAGCTGTATTTTAATTGCCAGCAGGCAGCACGAGTGACACATGAGCTGTCAGCTGGGCCACCTGTGGCAGCAGGGAATGAGAAAGAGCTTTGTTTTCCTCTTCTGGAGAGCTGTCCTCCCTTGCAGATGCTCTGCAGGCAGCACTGCTGTGCTTATCTCCCTCTGAGGACTTCAAAACAGGTAGAGGTGGGACCCAGATGTTGCACTGGTCAGCTGCTTGAGCTGTGCTCCATCCAAAAGTACTGGAAGTTGCTTGAAGTGAGATAAAGATTTGCTCCTCTCTTGCACAGAGCTTTGTATTTTCCATCTACTGTGGTGTGGAAACTTTAGCCTTCCTATTTCCAGTCTTCCTATCAGAACGACATTTTTTATTCATTCTTAAACCAAAGAAACAACAAATTCTGCATCCTCTCTCAAGCCCAGTCTTGTTAATGTTCTTTGAAACATGACAAGTGTTGTGGCCATCAATCTGCAATGATCCCCTTCCTTCTGAAATGAGAAAAACATGTCACTTTTGGCTCTAAGTAATACAAAGGGAGAGGCATATTCTAGATGGGAGCTGCATGGCTGCCAAAGATGAAAGAAAAATGTTATTACTATTGGAAATTTCATAATTACAGTTAATGATAATTTAATGAAATGACATTGTCTTCACAGCTATCGCTAATGAAATGTTTGAGAGTGATAAAATAGATCTTGTTAAATAGAGCGAGAGTTTTGAGTGGAACAGCTTTGTGACAGCACACTGCCTGCACAAGTCTTGAATTTCTATTTTTTGTTAGAGTAGCTCAAAAAAGAAGATAAAATGAAGGCTGCATGGCAAATAATGCACAAATGAGGTATTTGAAGGTCTTCCATTAAGCAAACAATACTGAACTCCTGAGCAGCATGTTGATGACTGAGCACTGCTCCTTAGGAATGCTAACCCTTCATTAAAACACTTCCCTTGTTTTCCTTTGCAGGCAAACCAGAGAACAAGAAACCCCGCCTGACTTTTTTTACTTCTCAGACTATGAGAGACATAATGCAGAAATAGCAGCATTTCATCTCGACAGGCAAGTGGAACAGCTTTACAGTAAAAGGGGAAATATTGTGATAAGTTGCTGCACTTGGCGATTCCTGTAACTGAATTACTTTTTTAAAAGGGGAAAGTGGAACAAAAGTGGGCAAATGCCATGAATAAATTAAATGGCAGATGATGAAAGAGTAAGTTAATAATTAGGAAATGTGACTTACTCTGGGAATGAGAAACCTGGCAAAAAGAAATTCTCAAAAAGAAAGTTTTATTGAAGAGAAGCTGAGAAATTAATTTCCCTTGTGATCTTGCAGTACATACGGAGAGCACCCATCTCCCAGGCAATGTGCCACATTAGTGATGGGAGCCCGGCTCACCCCAATTAACTCCAGGGCACAGAGATCCAAACGAGCCCTGGGCAATGGTGTATTCAGAGAGGAGTCCTTGAGATGGAAGGGCGTTCTGGTTTCACAGCAAAAAGCCGGGACTGTCCCACATCAGGAGCATATTTATGCCACAAGTTATTGGGAAGGAGAGGGCAGTGGTGGTCATCTCATGCTCCTGTTGCTGAAAATGTCCCCCCTCCAGAGTTAGTGCAGAGGATGTTGGATACCCCAAGACTGCAGCCCTCCCTCTCTGCCCAGATGAGGGGTGGGAATTGCAAATTAGTGATTAGCAGTATGTCTGGAAAAAATGGCATTTCACTGAAGTGTCTTTCACACTCTGAAAGGCCAAGAAACATAATTTTGAAAGTGCAAAGCTTTGGGGCCATGAATTATTTGGGGGTTTGTGTAGAATTGCTGCCTTCTGGAATGATGACTGGGATATGGGAATGTGTTGGTGGGTGGCACAGAGTAGATATTCCAGTAAGAGCCAATCCTGATCAGATCCTTCAAGGATCTTCTCTGTTTCATTGTTGTTGACCTTGGTGTTGATCCCTTCTGCTTTATATTTCATATTGCCGTTTTAAGCAGATGGTGCTGTAGAAAAAAACATCAGTGGAGTTCCTACGGGGGGTGTGTTAAATATCCACACACTAAACAGTTGCTTAGTGTGTGGAAAAGCAGTTGCTACCCAATGAAGAAAATATGAACAGCAGACAGTAGATATAAAAATCCTGCCTATGGGGAGACTTTGTATGGGGTCCTTGCTCTTTTACTGCATCTAATAGCAGTGCTTCATAGGGAGGTTTTTATGATCTGTGAAGGTGGGGGAGTTCGGGGTAGGGAGAGGCTCTTCTCCCAGCCTTTGCCCGTGGGAAGATTTTTGGTCTCAGGGAGATTGTTTAGGTTGGTATAAGGGTATTAAAACAGAAAGGAGCAGAAGGAAATAAATCAAACACATACTAAGGCTGTCAGAAAAAGAATTACATGGTGTTTATGGAGGAAAGAGGCTGAAATCCCATTCCCCAAGTCACTTAAAAACTGGTGAGCAAAATGCATGTCGTAACAATCATGAAGTAGCACAAAGTGAAAAAATAAATTTTTGCTGTCTCTGTTCTTTGGAATTGTATGTATCTTCATTTTTATCATGGAACAATGCCCTCCATACTTTTCTTGTATTTCACTCCATACTACATAGGCAATGCGGAGCTCATCAAATTCAGGACATATTTCGTAATTCATGCTATGAGGAATTATCCACTTTAAAGTGATGGGCTTTACACTCCTTAAAGACCACAGATAAATGTGCCTTCAGAGTGTAATGAAGCTTCCTAAAACCTATAACTCTCATTACACTTTAATCCTTTCCATAACCCATGTCTCTTGTGCCTGTTGCAGGATCCTGGATTTCCGGCGCGTGCCCCCGGTCGCAGGCAGACTGGTTAACATGACGAGGGAAATACGAGATGTTACTCGTGACAAGAAGCTGTGGAGAACATTTTTCATCTCACCAGGTAGTCCTGGAAATAACTCTCTCTTCTCTCTATCCCGCTGAACACATACTTAAGGAAACGATGTGTAGATTGCTTAATTGCTCAGATATTTCTAATAAAACTGTCTTCTAGACCTTTGAATAAAAATAAATGTGGAGACATAGCTTACAAAGAAGACTTTATTGTTTTGAGTTGAGTGCTTTTCCCCCTTGACAAATTATCTGCAGAGAGAGGCTTTTATGTTCACCAAAGCAGTGTATTCAAAAAATGTTTTATGTAGAACAATTTCTAATGCAATTTCTTCTGGTGCTTTCAGTTTACCCAAACCCTTATTACCCAGCCCATTAGTTATTCAGGGTTTGGGTTTTTTTCCCTACTGCAATGTGATCTGTCACTTCTGTTGGTCAGATGCATTTATTTCTGGCTTTGACTGGAGTACCAAACCTAATTTCTCAGAGCCATTCAGGTTTTATTACAACAGAGTTTGGGCGAAAAAATCAGGAAATAGATATGTAATATATCCTGCTTCCAGCTCTAATTCTCTGTTGGGCTAGAAGTGACCTGAATTGTTCCCAGTCCTCACTCTTGCTTCAAGGGCTGACCCAGAAGCTGATACCACTCACTCCTCAGTCTTTCACACCATTTTGTGGACCTAGTCAAGGATGGAGATCCACAGGGTGGGAATTCTACAAGCACAGGATAAAACCCTATCCTGCTCACCAGAATATACAACTGGAATAGGGAAAAATGGGCAAAAGATGGGAAAAAGTGGTAACATCTTTTATTTAACCTCTGGGATGCTGAGATGGAGAAATTAAGGCTCAGAAATATTTAAGTTTGTTCTTACATACAGAATTTATGGTTATAGGTTCAATTTAAAGTACAGTGCCATGTTCCAGTAGTTTAATTCATACTGTTTCAGCTGTGTGCAAGTGTGCTTTGCTGATCTGAGGCTGTGACTTGTGTAAGAGGCAATCTGGAGCAGAAACCTCTGGAGATCTCTCCCTTGCTCTGTGTGTGATTGGCCAGAAGCTGTTTATCCCAGATCCCTAAAGTAGAGATCCAAAGACTTAATTACAGTTTCTCCCAATGTAACTGTAATTTATTGCTGTTAGCTAGAAACCAGAGCTGTCATTGCTGAGCTTTTGCTCTTAAAATGTTTATCACACTTTTCTGATCCCCAATAAAGTCATTATTACGGCTGTTATTTTTAGCTACATATTTATGTTCAGCTCTGCAGGACACAGTTGAGCAGACAGTTATTTATTCCAGGAACTTCACTTGTAAATTACATTGCATAATTGCAGAAGGTTTCATTTTACCCAGTACTATGAGCACTGCAATTATGACCACTGAACATGTATTGTCACAGTTACAGTGACAATACATGTTCACCAAACCTGGTGGACACAACATTTCTGCATTTGCCTTAGTTGCTTTCCCTCCCTCTTTGTCTCTCTATACTCTTTTTTGGTTTTGGCTTGATTTTTGTAGGTAAAAATGTGCAAAAAATAGCAAAAAAAAAATCTTTTGACTGTGCACAAGGTGCTTTGGCTCACTTTAAACATAAGCCATTTTATTCCTATTTTGTCAAGTAAGATGTGGATTAATAGGTTTGCTTGATTTTTAGTGTTCCTAGGTTATATTTCAAGACTTAAGGATGAACTTGAATTACAAAACTGTTCTCAAGTACTGAGCAGCTTACATCAGCCAGAGCAGGGCAATACAGAGTTAAAGGCTGCTAGTTCAAATGAAGATCTTTATCTTGCCATTATGAAATTCCAGACATCCACACATAATCCTTTATTCAAATTTATTTAGAGGTCTCAGATAAATTCAATTAAAATATTTGATTAACTATGAATCAGGCTTTTCTGGAGAGTAAAATGCTCAAGCAATTAATTTTTCTTTCCATTTTACATTTCCTGAATCAATATACTTTGGTTAAATCACGTTGGTTACTTGTCAGACTTCTTCCCTACAAGTCCCCAGCTTAATTAGTCAGATTCTCATTAATATATGCCCAACCTCTGTCTTGTATTTCATACTGACCTTAAAAGGCAGGCATTAATTAATGCTTAATGAAAAAAATAACAAAGATCCTAAATTAAGCTTTTAGAAACAACTTCCACAAGGCCAGCAGGCAGCTCAGGCAGCAGATTGAGGGCAGGGAAGGAAGAGAAGAGGGAGGTGCTGGGGTGAGACTCGTGGTCTGGGGGGTGAGGATGAAGAGGGAATAGGGAGCCTGAGGAAGGCTCAGGGGCTGACTTGCCCCTCTGGCAGATGAAGGGCAGCTGAGGCTGTTGGTTTGGAGGGAGAGCTGCCTCCAAAGGTGAGAAATGGAGGTGTGACCTCTGGGTACATGCACAAACCAGGCTCTGTGCACCAACACAAGCCTGTAGAGGACCCTCTGTGACTCCCTTTCAGGTGGCTCTGTCACTGCATCTCCATCCCCAGTGACAATTAATGGTCATGGGGACACTTGGTGCCTGCTGGCAGAATATCCCTCTCCATGCACACATACACAGATCTTAAATGAAACAAGCACTAAGTGAAATTGATTTCATAGGAACAGGCTGGGAGCCCATGGTTTGCACCCTCAGAGGGTGATTATTGATAATATTCATCAATCACAGGACCATGGAACACCCTGAGTTGGAGGGGGTCATCAGGCTCAGTGAGTCCAGCTCCTGCCCCTGCACAGGGCACCCCAAGGATCCCACCCAAGGATCCCACCAGGAGCATTGTGTTATCTCCCAGACCAGTGTGGGGATGTGTTGGAAGAAACCTCACTGCATTTCCACTCCTGGGCCGCCTCCCTTGTCCCATCAGGTGTGGAAATCAGGGCCAGGGAGCCACAGGCAGCTTCAGAGCACAGTGCCCAGCATGTCCCTGCTCCCATGGAAAAGTGACAATGGCTGTGAGCAGGCAGGTCAGTGGATGCATTAGGCTGTGCTCAGAGGGAAAGCAGTTTGCAGAAAAGTGCACTTTCAGGCAGTTCGGACTTAAACATGAGAAATGGAATTAGGTCAGTAATTATTTAAATTAATTTTATGTCCTTTGCAGCAAGGCAGACTGCAGTAGCCCTGCTACTTTTACAAATGAATGGTAATTTGCTAGGAAAAAAGAGACATATTAATGATGTCAGCCTTCATTTTGGAAGTAATTGAGGCAGCAGCTTAAAGAAATCAATGTTACACAGCTAGTAAGCACTATGTTTTTGTTCATATTAACCAATTCCAAGGGATTATGGATTTTTTTCCCTCTAAGCATACAATAGCACTTCTGAGTTACCTATTATTTTGAGCAGGTAAATGAAAGATCTTTTTATGCATTGCTGTAGTAAATATTCAGGATTTTTTCCAGTACTCCAATTGCACATGCTTGCTAAATGTCCTCTATTAACAGTCATGCAAAGCTGAATAAAAGAATTGCTCTACCGAGCAATTTGCTTTAAGGTATCCCCCCTTGTTCCTTTTCTTCCTGAGAAGAATTATTGTTCAGCTATCAGGAGGATGCACAGAGAATTTGCAGATGAGTACACAGACACTCTGATTCTTAATTGTTGTAATTAGTTGGAGTTTCGATCACCAGGCCATGATTTTTGCCTGCATTTCATTACCAATCACATCCATTCCTCCTCAGATAATGAAAATCAGACACTGCAACATGGGATTCTCTTGTCTTTCTGGTGCTTTGGGAAACAATCTTGGTTAGTAGTGAAGAAGTGTTTTGCATGTTGGCAGTGCTCAGCATTTGGACATTCCAGCATGTATCAGCATTCCTCCCTGTCTGGTTTGCCAGCACTGCTGTTGTTGCCATTCCAGCCCACCCTGCAGGAGCACAAATTCCTGGCTGTTGCTCCTTTTGCAGGTGTACTTATGCAAGAAACACCTTTATCTGGTGAGAGGAACATATGGTTTGGGCAATTTTAGTGAGAGGAGAAGGACTGTGCCACAGTAGGGAGCTCATCTCCCCTTTCTCTCTTGTTTTTACTTCGGAATGCCAAACCCTGCTCTCAGCGTGGGATTGCCATGAAGCGCTGGGCTTGTGGCTCTAGCTGGAATTTCACCCTCAGCCTGCTGTGCAGAATGTGGGTCACCTACTTAGGTTTCAAAGAGCCTTGCTGCAGCACCTTGAAGTCTTAAATGAGATCTGTGGTTTTCTATATTTGGTGCCTCTTTTTTTCCCTTACATTTTTAAGAAACCTTAAAGACGAATGTTTCCCCTGATAATTCAGGCTGCTTCATCTTACTGCTGGTATGTAAGGACTAGGGCAGACATAATAGGATGTCTGTTCTGTATCAATCAAGGCAGTTAATTTCTTTAGCAGTAGCTCGAGATCCAACATCCTTTCACCTCCACTATCCCCAGAAATGGAACAAGAGCTGCGGGGAGTAGGTACCACAGGTCTGAGCCCATGGGGGGAACAACTGCTGGCAGAAAAAGATTTGCCATTGTATGCAACTTGTCAGTGAGGAATACACTTGTGGTTTTACTGCAAGTTCACTGTCTTAATGGCAGGACACATCTTGCCATTGCTCAGGGCACTGGATGCTGAGCAGGTGATGGGGCTCCGTGGAGGATCAATAGCTGGAAGGTGCTGGCAGGGATGAGTGGGATGAGTGGCAGGCAGCACATGTGCTCACTGCACAGCCCTGCAGCAGCAAACAGCAGCACTGCCAGAGCCCCCAGCTCTCCTCAAGTTTTACCTGGATACCAGTGTGTGATTACTGCCAAGTGATTAGCCCCAGTTGCTTTCGTTGACAATACAGAGGAGGGTTTCATTGTTCCCCAAGCTGAATACAGAAGCAAACTATTAAACAGAGTATTTATCTTCCCACTGAGCAAAATGCTGTGTTTAATACAACTCCTTTTTCTTGAAAGGTCAGATTTACATAGTGAGCAGCAGAGGCTGTGATGGTGTGGGGGACGTTTGCTGGGCCTTTTGCTCTTTACAAAACTGGTTCTGCAGGAGATAAACGAGCACTGGCTTCCTGCTGCCAGGTGGAAGGCAGGTCATGGAAACCCTGGAAGATAAGTTATCTCAGGCAGTCAAGATAAATCTGCATGGTTCCCTCCCTCCACAGATGAGGGGATGATGCTGGCACAGCTGAATTGAAGCCCAAGCCCCACTGCAGCTTCAAATCAGCAGAAACAATTTTTAAGAGAGGATATTCCACTTGGTAAAACACTTAAATTGCAAACTCGGAAGTACAGATATGTTGAGTGATCACTTCCTTCCTTTTGTAATTTCTGTTCTTCCTTTTCTCTTCCCTGAAGTACTTTTATTTTCCTTGAGTAATTGTCAACAAGCTTTTTGGCCACAGAGTAAATATTTGTGGACTTAGCCAGGATATATTTAACTGCTATGATCCAGTCTTGTAAATATAAACATACAGTTTGGGTAAGTTGTTCCTGAGCATGGATGGATGGGTGGCCCTCGTGAGTCAGCCACAGCAGGCTGATGCAAAAAGGCTGTCTTAGAGTGAAGTAATCACAACTTTGTGGACAAATCAGGTGGCCATCAACAGAGAAAGCTGGGACATCAGTGGAAAGCTGGAACAGATTGTCAAGTACCAAAACATCGGCCTTGTAGTGTGGTTATTTGGTACAACTCCATGGTTTAACAGCCAGCCCCAGATAATGCAGTTGATTAATCAAAAGCATCACGAGGACTTTTTGCTATTCCGTGTTCCCCTACTTCTCCTTCCTCAAACACAGCTCCTTGCTCTGTTCCTCCCTTCCTCCTGTCATCCTCAGAGTTGTCCCCTGTCCTCCTGACTCACCAGCTACCACTGGCAGTGTCCCATCTCCCCTGGGCACTCTGCTGGATGGGGTTTGGGCTGGGGATGTCACAGTGACGTGCAGGGCTGTGTGCTGCAGGGCATCACTGCCATGCAAACCCACACTCACCTTCCTGTGGCAGCCAGAAAATCACCTCCTGCTGCTCCCAGCCCTTCCTGCCTCATTTACACTGAGCCTGCCCAGAGGTAGAGCAGCTCAGAAACAATATTTGAATTTAGAGGCCTTGTGGGGAATTAGGAAGCAATGTGACTTCTCAGCTTCATGCATTACCATGAGGAAAAGGCACAGTCTTCCTCTAATGACATTTTATGTGCATAAAGCAATGTCACAAGAGTTGTAGCACACTGGCAAGAGCAACAGTGTACTCCTATTCCTGTTCACAGTCTGCTGTTGGTGGGCTTTGGGGATGAGCTGCTCTCTCTCACCTTCAGTGAATTCCTGTGGGCAGGATGTTCTTGTAAAGGCGTGGGTGTTCCTGTTGGTACAGAAGTATATGGTGGCAGTTTTGGGGAAGTTTTAAGGTAACACACGGTCCAAAACCTGCTGCAGATTCTTTTTCTGTGGTTGTTGGAGTAATGTGAGGTGTGGAGGAAGGAATTAGTGTTTGAGATGTGTGCTGACAGCGTTACATCCATGCTATTTCCACCTTCCATGCACACCCCCACAGGACTCTGGATGGTAAATAATTCTCCTTGCAGAAACTGTCAGTTCTTCTCATACCAGCAAGGAAATGAATGAAATGTTCTCCAGTCTTCAAGAAACAAGCCAAGATTTTGAAAAGTGACTTAATTTTGGGCACATGCCACTTGTTCAGCTCTGGGATTTTGGGTTCCAGCCTGGGGTAGCAAACAGCTCCCAAGGAATGCATCAGTCTGGGAAAACGAAAGGAGAAAGGACAGCATTTAAAAAAAAATATGTTTGGGGAATATAAATAGACTGGAAATAGTCACAAAGACTTTGCACAGGGCGTGATCCCAGCCACTGAAATAATGTCTTTCTAGTGGTTTCAGTGGAGGAAAACTATGTGTGGTAACAGGAGTTTGGATTTATTTCTGCTCCTACATACATCAGTGCTTTTATGAATTCTCAATACTAATTTAAGGGTAGGCTTTAAAGCTCTTTTCCTTTCTTTACCAGCCAACAACATCTGCTTCTATGGGGAATGCTCCTACTACTGCTCAACAGAGCACGCCCTGTGTGGGAAACCAGATCAGATCGAAGGGTCCCTGGCTGCTTTCCTGCCTGATTTGTCACTAGCAAAAAGGAAAACCTGGAGAAACCCCTGGAGGCGTTCCTACCACAAGCGCAAGAAAGCAGAGTGAGTAGTGGTGAGCAGAGCTGCACAGGGTGACAGAGAAATAACCCAGTCCTGGCCCCAGGAGAGCAGCTGGGTTCTCCCAGCCCCTGGGAAGGGACAGGGCACTGCACGTGCCAGGAGCTCCAGTTTATGGTCTGAACCCAAAAGGACCTTCAGTGGCACAATTCCTTCATGGGACAGGTACCTCCAGTGGCACTGACAGGATGCAACGGGACCTGTCCAATCCTGTCAGAGGGGGAAAGATGCACTGCTCTCAGCAGCCCTAAGCAAGTCTCAGCTGTTTGCACCATATGACTGATGGTGCAGCTAGTCTCCTAAATCCTGAAGCAGATAGTTTTCAGTCTTGTGATTTTCTTCCTTCTTTGTCAGTGACAATCTTCCTTGCTTGCCTGCATTGCTGGAATTTGCTGCCTCTAGCTGACCCTGCCCTCAATCGAATATGATAAAAGTAGATCTTTGCAAAATAACATTTTTTGTCATTTTCAGTAAGCTTTGTATGTAACATAAAATATCAAAATATTGCCTTTTCCAGATGGGAAGTTGATCCAGATTATTGTGAAGAGGTTAAGCAAACACCTCCATATGACAGTGGGACCAGAATTCTGGATATAATGGATATGACAGTTTTTGATTTCCTAATGGGTATGTTTCATCTCTTTCAAAAATTAAATGCAACATTTAATTAGAATAAGAACCGTTTCTTTCTGCACTGCTCTGCATAGCTCAGCAGTTTGCTAAAGCGTGGCTGAAGCTGCATTTACTGTATGTGCTTTTCTAGATGATTATGAGAAAATGCAGATTTACATGGTTATGTATTCCCATCAGTGCAGATTAAAGGAACAAAGATGTTCAGAAATGCAGAGTGGTGATGAATGCAGGTCAGGCCAGTCTCCTTCACAGTAGTGAAGGGCTGCACAGTTTGCTTTAGTGAGTGCTTTACCCCTGTGATATATGGCTCCTGGATGCACATGCAAGGACTGCTCATTACTGGTGCTTTGTTTTCATCCTGCAGGAGTGTTCTCTGCTGCTTCTCTATGAAATGTCAGGGTTGGGGGGGAAGAGGCATTGCTTTGTCACAAAGGCAGCTGTGGATTGTATCAGGAATTTTTCTGTTTATGTAACCTGATCTCAATAAAATAATTATTTACAGCCAGGTACTAGTGGTACCATTCCAAGCCTAATTCTCATTCTCATATGAAACCTTCCCTGCTGCAGCAAATACACTTCTAAGTTGCCAACTTACATCCTTGATCTTTGGGCACATGCCAGCATGGACACATCCTGTGCCATTGCCCCCACTGAGATTCCTGCAATAGCCTGCAGCAGGAGAGGCCAGGTGACAGCTCAGGAGCCATATGTGGCATCTATAAGTAGCTCAAGACCCCTGCCAGGGAGACAAAATTCATGGCTTGGCAGCAGTGCTCTGCACATTGGCCTTAAAAAGCAGCTCACCCAGGGAGAGCTGTGCAGCTGTGCAGATCAGCACCATCCTCATCCATATCTCACAGACATGATGCTGTTCTGGCTTCCCAGGCACTCAGCAACTGGGGCAAACTTCTTACCAGAGGAAAACCAGGATGTTTGGTTGGGGTTCGGGAAGTTGAATGCAGCATTAACAGAGTGATCAGGATTAACATCCCTGCTCAAAGCAGGCATTTTCTCCCTCCCTGAGCAAAGCCTTGCACATGTCACATGGACCAGGTCTGCTTCACACGCCCTGCTGAGCCCAGGCTGTTCCCTTGCCACAGGGAACACAGCTGCCCTACAGGTGACCAGCCTCCCCAGGCAGCTGGGATGCTGTTGTGCTGGAGAGGGGTTTCCTTGGTGTAGCCCAGGAGGGTTGCAGGAGGAGGGGAAGGTTGGCTTTGTGTCCTGATGGGCCTTTTAGAGCTGAAGTATAAAAGCCACGGAGAGCTTGAAAAGCTGCCAGAGGTTTAACAACCCTTCCAGTATCACACACTTTGGGGTATCCACAGTAAGAGCAAATGAGCTCTGCAGGTTTGCTGCTTTCTCTGCTCTGTTTTTGGGGAGCACTGGGCTTTTGCATTGCCCTGACCTGCAGACTCAAGCCAGAGTGAGAATGGTCTTTTTTCTTCTCTTTGTCCCATAGGTAACATGGATCGACATCACTACGAAACCTTTGAGAAGTTTGGAAATGAAACTTTTATTATCCACTTAGACAATGGAAGAGGGTAAATACCTTTAATAATCCTTCTGGGGTTAAAGAAAAAAAAAAATAGTCAGTCATTGCCTTTGTAACATTCTTGCTCTTATCTTTAAATAGGTTTGGAAAATATTCCCATGATGAACTTTCCATTTTGGTGCCTTTAAACCAGTGCTGCAGGTATGTTTTCCCTCTGGAGGTGTTTCCTGGTTTGTACCATTGTTTCCACTAACAGGACTGAAAATGTTCAAGTGAATCTTTCATTGCCCACTGTGGAGAGGAGGAGATGGAGTGATCCTGCCCAGCTAGCCCTGAGCATTGTCACTGCCACATGAAATGCTCTGTGGGACCAGGACGCTGTAGGAGCACGGCTGTGAGCTTTAAGAGAAGCTTTAAGACAAAATACAGATCCCATGGAAGTCAAGTGACAAAATCCCAGCTTGTTCACATGCTTCTCAACAGCTTTCCTTGGTGCCCATGGCCAGGGTTTTCAGAGGGTGACTAAATTTAGAGTTTCAGCTTTTCAGGGTGAGCTCTGTGTCTGTGGGGACTCTGGGCAGCCCTGCAGGGTGAGCCTGAGGAGCCTCTGCTGCTGTCACACGTGTCCCTGCTCAGTGACACGTGTGTCACACGTGTCATTGCCACGAGGGACATGGTCCTATGGATTTTGCACCAGCTCCACTTGGTGCCTTTCCAGGTGAGGGATGTGAGGCTGCCTGCACTGTCCCCTGGATCTGTCCTCCAAAACCTCTGCACCCCTAAGGGCCTCAAAAGATCAGTGGCCAAGTGACAATGCCAGCTGCTCACTAGGACTGTGACAGTGCCTGGTTCTCCTCATTTCAGATCACAGAATAAGGCTCTTACACTATTATTGTAATTCTGGCCATAAGCCTTTTAGCACTGTCGAGGTCAACAGTGATGGAAATAACTGATTTGCATTTTTTTTTCTCCTTTTCTTCTTAGAATCAGGAAGTCTACCTATCTGCGATTACAGCTGCTAGCCAAGGAGGAGTACAAACTCAGTCTCCTGATGAAAGAATCTTTGCTAAAAGACAAAATAGCTCCAATCCTCTACCAGCCTCACTTGGAGGCGATGGACAGGCGGCTGCGGATTGTGCTCAAGGCTGTCAGTGACTGCATAGAGAAGGATGGGTATGACAACGTGGTTGAAAATGACTTTAACATGGATGTTAACACTGTTACAACTGAGAGGTAGTGAAATGGCAAGACTACGTTTTTACCAGCTGAGTTGAGAAGATTCAAAGAAGGAAAAGAAAAGAAACAAAACAACAACAACAAAAAAATAAAGTCTTGCAAAAGACTGTGTATGCTACTTTGTGAATTCAGTGAATTCAGAAATGAGATATAATTGTTCCCAAAGTAGGTAAAGTGTAGACTCTGCAAAGGATTAGTTCATTAAGAAAAATAAGTCTAATGTGATGCTTTTCATTAGTTCCTGAAGAGAGATTATGAAAAGATTCAGAAAATACTCAATCACGGACAGACAGCAGTCTGATAGCAAAACACCTCCTGTCCTTTTTGTATAGAAAGGAGGCCTTTACTTAATATTTTGTATTTATATATGGTATATCTATGAAACCCCAGACCTACCTTCCAAATTTAACTAAGAGGGACAGCATAGTTTTGTGACTCACACTTTATTTGTGGTGACAGTCCACTTAGTATTTTGTGTTAACCCTTTAAGTGCTCTAATCCACTGTATCTTATTTAAATTGAATGCTTATTTTCCCCCCAGCTACTCAGCATTTAAAGGGTTAAGGCATAATGAACTTTTAAAGGCAAAAAATAATAATAATAAATATGATAATAATGATAATAAATACAGGGGTTACCAGAAGGGAATTTCACTAATTGTGCTTTGACAGGAATACTTGAATGTTGGTTTTACAAAGTGATGTAAAATGACAAGTTGTACTATTTGTCCATAAGGAGGTGGCAGCTCTTATCTTTCTAGACTATCATAGCTGAGCTGCTACTTTTCAATTTTGCTTTTGATAGTTTTGTGTAAATATATACATATATGGGTAAAAAGCTGCTTTCAGCAGCTCTAGGCTTACTTTTGCAGCATTTTTGTGGAATTGTTTGCAACGTGGTAAAAGTGCAATAAAGATATGCAAAATGTGTAGCCATCTTGTCTAAATAGATTCATTCATCTTGTTCAGAGCAAAGCTCTGTGCACCAGCCAAGTGTCCCAGAAGTGGTTGTTTAAATTGTCATCCCCTTTTGTAGCAGCAGCAAATGGAGCTGGAGCAGGGAATTGGTGATTAATTGGTGATTAATGCACACTGCAATGCCAGTAAGGGCTGGGGTGTTGAAAAGGGTTAATCTTTCCTATGAAAGCATTGTTTTGACTGTCATTTCAGCATCCCTTCCTCTTGCAATTATGGCTGTAGAAACGAGCTGTGGAGCAACACCTCCCAAAGATTTTGCCTTGACATATTGCCCAGAGGATTTAGAAACACCAGTGCCTCTGACTTGGGCTGCAAAAACCTTTGCACAACCTAGAAAATCCCAGCCTAAATTAGCTGGAAACATGGTATTCTTATCCAAATAGCCTTGAATCATGCTCAGCTGCATTCTTTTAAGATTTGTGGAGACTCTCAGCCCAAAAGCAAGCTATAAATTGAACACGTGGCTGTATTTGACTTGTGAAAACATGGTGTGGTGCAGCAGGAATCCCTCATCACTCCTCTGGGTGAGGAGAGAATTTATTGTGACAGTGTTCATCACAACTTTAATTCAAAGCTGCCATTTATTTCATTTGATGTCTTTTTTCCCAGGGATTCATAACCATATACTTTAAAAGCCAGGTAGAATAAAATGTAGGCATTTCAGCATATTAAAATTATGAATGAGAGAAAAATCTGCTATATGGGCTCATTCACTTCTTAGGTTGATATACTATCACTAAAAAACACATGTCTTTTATATTTTATTGCCCATTTCAAATTCCCATGGTTCTCACATCCATGGCATACAAAGACAACAGAATATCTCAAATTGTAGAACTGTGCATGAACTTGGAAAATTTCTGGTTTATCCCATGGCTTTTTTTTCACCTTTGAAGACCCAGCTATGATGACAAGGATTCCTCTGCAACACAGCACTGGAACTGCAGTGTCCTCTCCCCATTAGCCAAAAAAAAAAAAAAAAACCCAAAAGCAAAACATGGGAACACAAAAAGGTGAAATGGGTGGTATTATCCTTGGTCTATCTTCAATGCCTGGCTGTGGTTTTCCTGCAGGTGCAGCTTTTTCTCACCATGAAATAGTGCCAGGACTGCAGAGGAGCTATAGAATCACCTTCCCAGGGCAGCTCTGCTCTCTGCTTCTGGGCTCAGCTCAGCAAACCCGGTTTGCTTTTGGAAAGCAGCACTTGGCAGCCTCTTTGTTCAAAGAGAATCAGCTCAGTGAAGGTCTTGGCTCTTTAGAAGCTGGGTGTAGGTCAGGGGCTCCTGGCAGGGTGGGTCAAGCTTCTCTCTCTGCAGAAGGCTGTCTGGTGCTGTCAGGGATATGAACTTACTGTTATGGATCTGGTTCTGAATTTCTACAAGCAAAATCAGTATTTTTTTATAGATTAAGTGGTGTTAAATATGGAATAAATAATGTTTGTACAGGGTGTAAAGAACTTAAGGTCATTAATCCTTGCCACATTGTAAAGAGTTCTGAGGGCCTCCAGTTTCCTTCTCCTGGACTTTGATGCTCCCCCTTGTAAGCTCTGTGCTACAGCTTTCTAGACTAATAAAAATTCTTCTCATTTTAGTCTTAAATTACACACACAGACATGCACATACCTTGGAAGGAGGGAGACACTGGCTCACATGCTGGAGAGGTTTCCTTTCTCTGGTGCCTCTGATGAGAACCTGGGGTGAATGAGCCCCACGTGGGCAGTGCAGGTCTGAGCTCACTGCAGGGTGCTCAGGAGATGGATGGCAAGAGCTGAGCCCAGACCCCACCTGTGGTCAGGGTAGCTGAGGACACAGCTCATCTGGAGGATGTTGCAGGGCTGGAAGGGATGATTAATTAATTAAACAGGCTGTGCAGTTACTTCTCAGTATCTACCAGGAAGCTCTGGTGTGTTTGCATTCCCGCTGCCAGGCAGCTGGAGCTTTGACTCATGTTCATTTTCTAAGTTTTTCGGGAAAGGAAAAGAATTATTGCCTTGTTCTGCTATTCCTTTTTTATGTGGGCAGGGGTGAGTGGGCATGGGAGACAGGAAACTGGAGCCAGGGAGTGAACTGCCTTTCAGTTCTTGGGGTAATACAGCCCTGAGGAGAGCTTTGTACAGCCCAGGGAGGGGCAAACCCCCACTTTTGGGGTGCATCTCCATTGCCCCGAGGCAGAGCTAATCTAAATTCCTTCTGGAAACCTCTTGGGTTTGCCTTTAGTCAAAGGATGTCACCATGTGAGCCCGTGGCTCTGAAAGGGCTGTCATTGTGTGTTTGGTCAGTAATCCAGGAAATGAGGAGGATTGGTATGATGTGGTGTAATGTCTCTTTAGGAGCCCTGCATATTTACCAGACAAAAATGTTCACTCTAGAAAGATAAATAAGTGTCAGAATTCAATTGGTTTGTCTCTGAATCTCAGAAGTTGGTGTAGCAGCAGGGCCCAGACAATTAACACACTGAGAAATCTGAGATAGCCTGTCAGGGGCATAATGTGTTCAGCACAATAAATACAGTATGCACAATAAATAACAGATAAAAATAGATAATATATTTCTAAAAGCACCTAATTACAATGGTATCTGACAGCGCAGAGTAGCTTACCGTATTCTCCTGAGTAATTCAGAGGAGAGCTTCATTTGTTTTTGTGGTTTTTGTGTTATTTAAGCATCAAAGGGAAATTGCAGGCAAAAAGCTGTCATTGTTTGAAGTAGGTATCACTGTTGTGATCAGCAGAGCCCGTGATGTATGCACAAGCTGGAAGCCTGAAGCAGATTGCAGTGTAAGCAGCAGCAAGATGTGTTGTGTAGGAGGAGGGAAACTGGGATTTCAGCCTGGCTGCTGCCCTGGGGCACTGAACTGAAAATGAACCTCAGTGGGCGTTCCAGGGAGGAGCATCCAAAGGGTGTTCTGGTTCCATCTGGTGGGACTGCACGTGGTAGAGGTCCAAGAGGGACACCCTGCTATGCCCTGCAGCAATGGCAGTGTCCCCTGTGTCCCCTTGGCACATCCAGACCACACCTAATGACTGCCAGCAAGGCTCTTGTGGCCCCAGCCTGAAAGTGCTGAGTGTCCAGCTCAGAGCAGGACACATACTAGAGCACTGACAATTTGCATCCTGAGGGAGCAAACTTTTCTTCTAGCACTGAGTGTATAACCACAAAGTTCATTTTCCAGAAATTATTCCAGCTATCAGCTGTTTCTATGGAGTTTCTTGCCCGTGGTTGTTTATTTGGGGTTCAATACACAGAAATAATTGCACATAAGGAAAATTCTTTTGAAAATTAATTGAGTGTTTGGAGGAAATTTTGAGTGTTGTGGGATGAGTTTTCACATGGAATTTCAAGTTATTACCAGTTGGAAGCAGCTGGATTTCTTGAGAATAATATTTTTATGCTTAAAGTCTTCATAGGTAGCCTCCAGCCGTAACTCTGTCTGACCAGATCAAACTCAATTATCTGCTCCCTTCTACATTTGCATCAGTAAAGTACCACTTCAATGCTTTTGGGGGCTGGCTAGAAAAAAAATTAAAAGCAATTCAATTTGGTGGGTCAAAAGACTTGAGAATTGAGGTCAGACAAGTTCTGGCCATGGTTAGAAATGAAGCATCAGCAAAAAGGAAGCTGTTGATTTGGCAGCATCAATTCCTGTTCCTCCAATGGCAGAGCAAGGATTTTTGTCTAGAAAAGAGCTGCTGGAATACCTGGTGCTCCACCTTTTTAGATATATTAAACACTTTTCATGGTTTTCCCTTTATGTCACTCTGATGTAATTACAATGACCAGCTAAGGGGGTTTTGAGCAGGATGGGGGAATGTTCACATTTGTCTCCAGTCTTCTCTGTGAGGATTTAGGTGCTGGGAGATCAGCTCCTCTTTCAAATGACCTTACTACACAATCAGCCCCATCCCCTGTCACAAGGAACTTGTGTTAAGCCTTGAATCTTGCTCAGGTATGGGCCAAAACCCAGCAGCTTGCAGATGGAATCAGCAGCTGGAACCAAAGCAGAGCATCTCAAAATTGGAGATGTCAGATCAGAGCACTCTCCACTTCCGTGAATGTGGGAATCTGGGTCACGTTGTGCCCTGGCCACAGTAATGAATTGCATTAGGATCTCATCATAAACTCCTGTGACACTTCTGGAAAGGTGCTGACTGACAGACACATGCCCAAAACCGCCTATGGCATCTGCTAGTTGACCTTGACATAACTTTAAAATACATCCCAGGGTGCCTTAAGACAGAGAATTTAAAATCTCAGCCCCCAGCTGCTGTGACTGTGCAGCACCAGCCATGTGTCCCTGGAACACAGTGATCCCCTGCTCGCTGGAGCACCTGGGTGCCTGCAGAAGGTGCCATAAATCAAGGCAGGACAACAACCTGCCCTCATCTCCTGAACTCCTCATGCACACATAAATGAGAAATGAGAGCTAAAGCTGTAAGCAAAGTGTGAGGAATGCAGCTGAGGGAGCTGGGGGAAAGAAACAACCCAAAAATGACAGAGGCAAGCTGATGGTCAAATTCATCCTTGTGAACACCAATGCCTAAGGAGCAGCACTTACTCCTCTGATCATTGTCTGAGCTTTGGAGATGGAGGACAAACCTGATTGTAAACTAAGCAAATCAGGCTATCCAAAACTGCAAAGTGCTTTTCTCATAGCTTTTCCTGGTAGTCCTTCACCATAACAAATTTAGGCACCAGGAATCTTTGCCACAGGTAGCATTTTTAAATAGCAATGATAAAAAGCATTTCTGGTTTATCCATTGAGTAAAGTTCGCATTGTTTCCTAGATCAAATCAGAACCCTTTCTGCTGATTTTTTTAAGCAACTCCTTCCTAATCAGTGAAGTCAGTGAGAGTTTTACAGATGTAGAATTTAGGTGCATTATCTTCTTTCACTGCCCCATTTACAGATGAATGGTCTCTCTGACATTCCCATGGCTTTCTTAATTATAAGCTTTA